ATCGGATCTTCTTTATCTATTTTAGAATTTACTTAACAATTTGATACGATCACAATGGGAAATTTATTGGCCAAAACATGTATGTCACTGTTTTTTTTTATTTTTTATTAAAATTAATAACGGATTTAAATTTGAACCAAATGTTCATGGCCAAGTGAAATAAAGTTTAGCGACATCTGTTGTGAACAGTAAATAGCACTAAATAGTGCTGCCATTTTTTGTGAAACTTCGTAAAAGTTTATAAAACTGTTTTCATTGTTTAAAACTAATTTTATATTCAATTTTATACAAGATAAACATTTATTGAAATATTTTTCAATCCGCATTAAAATACGGTTTATTACGAAATATAAGAACAAAATATTTTTAATTTTGTACGGCAACAGTATATAATCGATTACTGCTAGGCACGGTGTACCATCTTTATATCAAACTGATAAAAAATAAACATTAATATTTTGTAAGTGACAAGAAATGAAGAAAGTTTTGGTAACAGGTGGCACTGGCTTAGTGGGGAATGCACTTAAAACAATTATTGACCAAACTGCAAGTGGCGATGAATGGATATTTGTCGGATCGTCACAAGCCGATCTAACGTAAGTACATAAACACTTGACTCAAAATCTTATCACTTAAGCATACAAGCCTTAACAATTTTAGTGACAACAATGCAACACGATCGCTGTTTGAGCGTGCGAAACCCACCCATGTCGTGCATTTAGCTGCGATGGTTGGTGGCCTGTTCCATAATATGAACAACAACTTGGACTTTCTGGTAAATACAACAAATACACTGCTTTAATGCACAATGTTTATTATTGGTTGGTTTTTCTAATGTAGCGTAGAAATCTGCAAATTAACGACAATGTGCTGCAAAACGCTTATGAACATGGCTGTGTGAAAGTAATATCTTGCCTTTCTACATGCATTTTTCCTGATAAAACCAGTTATCCAATTGATGAGACAATGGTGCACAATGGCCCGCCGCATCCTTCCAATTATGGTTATTCCTATGCGAAAAGGCTCATCGATATACAAAATCATGCATATCATGATAAACACGGCTGCATGTTCACTTCAATTATTCCGTGCAATATCTTCGGTCCGCACGATAATTACAAACCTGAAGTGAGCCATGTTATACCGGGCATGATCAATCGCATGTACAATTTGATACATGAAAATACGGAGGTGCCCGAAAGTGAGAAAGTGTTTACTGTTTATGGTAGTGGTACACCATTGCGGCAATTTATATACTCACTGGACTTAGCGAGACTAATAATTTGGGTTTTGGATAATTATGATAGTATAGAGCCACTGATTTTGAGTGTGGATGAGGAAAATGAAGTGACAATTTACGAAGTTGCAATGGCTGTGGCGAAAGCATTTGATTTTAAGGTAAATGATTTTTTACCTCAAGTCATTAGCCATACAATTCATTTCTGAATTTTTTGCTTTCCATTTATAGGGCAAACTTATTTGTGATACCAGCAAAGCTGATGGTCAACATAAAAAGACCGCTTCGAATCGGAAGTTGCGTAGTCTGTTACCAGATTTCCAATTCACCGATTTTGAGAAAGGCGTTAAAGCCTCTGTTAATTGGTATATTGATAATATAGACAAAGTTAGGAAGTAATTACAATTTATTTGTTTATTTTTTTCTTTCTGAAGACTTTATTTTGCCGAGGCACATTTTTATTTTTTTGAGAAACATTATATATAAAGAAACTTTGTAGAGTCTTTTTTAGCTAAATAAACAAGTTAATGCTTCCATAAATTGCACGTATTAGCCTACATATATCTGTACTTATTTAATTTTAGTAATCATTGAAATCAGTAAATGTTTTAAAAAAATATACCAAAACTATGCTGATAACAAAACATAAGAAGTTAACTCCGGTTGTACCGGAGCTATAATATTCCACACAAAATAAAAAGTTGTTTTAGAACACAATATTTCATGCCAAATTTTTCCATCAAAATTTTCCATACAAGGACTTGATATTAATCGATCAGTTTATAATATGAAGCAGCTATATGCTATATACATACATATCTACTACGGGTTTTTTACAATACTAAAATATATTTGCAAACAACGTTGCTGTTATAGCGACAGAAAACATTCCAGAAATACCATAATTTCAGTCCTTTGCCGGAAAATAATCCGGGTCCATTCCGGTTACTTAGATCCGAAAGTTGTCGGAAAGTATTTCTCTATGGTTATTCTTCGTCAAAATCTTTTACTTTTGGGTGTGATTATATTTCCTATACAAAGTAGGAGTGACTTCTAACTGCTACTGAGTTGACAGTTCTTTGCCGCATAAAAATTGTGGTCCATTTCGATCGCCGTAATAGGATCATTGCCACGCCCGCAAAACGCCAATCAACGAAAATACTAAGAAGTGTCATAACTACTCACTGAGCTGAGATACGGAAGCGCAATTTGTTAGAGGTGATCGTAGTAGTGAGAAACACTTGTGAGCTAAACATATTTTAAAGTGATCGTGTATAGCATATAAATCACACATCAATAAAGTCATCAGAATAAAACTTTTCACAAATGGAGCCCCCAATTTCATATTACAACCAAAATTTGTCGAAATCACTTCATAACTTTTCACTGACATAACACCTACTATGTGGTGCGTATGGCTATTTTTTACGGAACATATTGGTCAATGTGTGAAGTCACGTATTGAAATACGGGGAGAATATTATAATGATGAATGAAAGTAAAAGGGGTCACATCTTCCCTCAGTCCCCGTACACTTTACTTTTATTGGTAAATATGTAATATATAGATAGATAGAAATTAATTGAGGTCTTGCACTGCGACCTATGGTCTATTGTGCCCACTCCTATATTACATATGGTCACAAAGAGCCAAAACTCTGAAGAATTCCAGGGGTTTGTTGGGAGCGATGGAGGTGATGTGATCCCTGTTCACGTAGATGGATCCAAGGGCCTTGAGCCTGCTTCTACAAATTTCTGGTTAATCTAGAATCAGGCCTTCTGGAGTTTCCGGTTCTATGTCGTAAAACCGGTAGTTCGGACAAGAGATTATGCCCATGTTGGACAAGTGTTTCTTAATCCTGCAATGTTCATTATAAAGCGCGACTTTGGATACGGAATTTGTCTCGGGGGAGGTTAATCATACCTCTCAACCTTGTTAGGTTTTTACCTCCCAATAGCAACTTGGCGTGACGCATTTCTGTTGCCTGCGGGCAGTGCCACCCTCTGCCCCCGCTTTCCCTCGTGCTTTAATCCGCTTCCTAACTCTGCCACAGAACCACCTAATTAAATATTGCTTCTTGGAAATGATAAGACATTTAAGTCTCCTCTATGGCACGGACTGAAGGACGCCTACTCTGCTCTATTAGTGTCAGTTTTGTCACGATTCAGCCTCCCGCTTGCTGACGACTTTCTAGTTTTAGTGGACTGACACATGAGCGTCGTCAAATTTTCCACCGTAAAACTACCACCAAGTGTAGTTTTAAGTTTTTTCGTTGTACTTAAAATCCGAGGACAACAAAAACAAAAAAAAAAAATACTTGGTCATAGTCTTTAAAGCACTCTGAACACGTTGGACAATTTGAACTAACTTTGTGCTGGAATCTGTACAGGTAGCTTTTAAAGCACCCGTGTCCACTTAGGATTTGTGTTAAGTGAAAAAAATGACTTTCAGTTGGTGTCTTCTTAGGACCCCATCACACATTATTTTTCATAGAACGGGGCCTAGTATCGAGTCTTACGATACTCCACTTCAATAGTATAAAATAATAGTCACCTATTTTCGAAATAACTCATAATAATTTCATATAGATGATTGATAAGATATTGAGAAGTGCGTATGTCATACAGAGCCTTGATTATGTTTGCCACTGTGCTGAGTTGAAGGCATTCTTCACATCCAGAGTCATCAGCGCGCAATATTTTTATGTTCCGCCTTTCCATCACTTGCCACTTACTGCGCTTTTCGCAGTCTCAACGACATCGTATAGTGTGTCAATGATGGACCCCTTTTTTATAAGGACGTATTGTCTTTCTGATAATCCGCCAGGTTTCTGGATTGTTACTCCTCACTTGGGCACAAATATCTTGGATCCAACTATTGAGAAGTCGATTTGAACTTCTATAATTTCTAGCCCTCAGCACAAGCATAATACACTTTTCGTATATATTTTTATTATATAACATGTTTTATTTAAATACATTTATCATATATGTACATACATATTTTACATAATCTCATACAATACATACAATATTAGTTATAAATATTTATTTATATAGGAGTCATTTTTCTTTTTGTTTTTCGTGTTTTTTGTGTTTTATTTTTGTTTTTGTTTTGCATTTAGGGAAATCGTTAAGCAGCAAAACATTGATGAAACAAGATTATAAGAGAGCTTAATCATTGAATCAGGCACATAATAGTTATGTACATACATACTAAATTATATTTTATTTAAACAAAAAAGCGCAAAAGTGTCCTGAACTCAATGTCTACGCGGAAAATTCTATTAGGTATTCGATTAATATAAATTTTCCTATACACTTAAGTTCATTACACGATAGTGGCATATATGTAACTAAGGTTATAATAGCATAATTATTTAATTTTGTTTTTGTTTTATATAATAATTAAAATAAAAGAAAATATCAATGAAAAGTTACGCGTGGAGAACGAAAATAAAATAAAATAAATTGTATACTTAAAATCTTTAAAGAGTCGAATTTGACACATTTCACCAATTTGTATTGTACATAACGGGTTAAAACTATTGAGATTTTCGTTTTTAATGCTTAAAGCAAGAGGTTAAATGCTGTAGGCGCACAAACACACATATATACGTATGTGTGTGTGTGTATGATTGGTTGTTGCTGTGGTGGTGGTGGTGTGAATGTGATATTCGTGTTTAGATGTTGGGTGTATAATGTCGTTTGATATTTGCTAAACTAAGGTCACTCAATATTTCTTAAGTCTTTTCAACTAAAGCACTTTTTACACACGTCGCTTCTTGAGCAGTTTGTCTTTGTTTTGTAGTGTAAAGAAACCGTTAACCCATTTGAGATCGGGTTTCGAGAAGCGTACAGTTTGACCATCTCCACAGGCATTTTCGGCGGCGTATATACCCTTGAGCATGACACTGGAACCGCTGCCGCAGGCCAAAGCGCTGCCAACATCAAATAGGCATGGATCGTGTACCACGGCACTGCAAACGCTGCTGTCGTCAGCACCGCAATCTGCGCGCGATTGTGCTATTGTGTCCGAGACGTGCATGACGGCGCCCTCCTCGTGAGCTGGAAGAAGATAGTTTAATGTTAATGAGATTTTAAAGAATTCGTTTAGACTTTTGTACTTCCAATAGAATAAGAAAAATAAAAACGTTGTAAGAGTTTATGAGTTTCAGGCAGTATCTTGTACCAAGTATCTGAGACATTCACTGATGATAATGAGGCCCCATTCTTCGGCAAAAACATCGAAAATGAGGTTAGGTGAAGTTTTATTCCTCAAGCATTTAGCTTAACGGCAAAAACATTAAAAATGCAAAGAGAAAAATTGAAACGTTAACTTTCGAACGATGGTGGAAGCTGCAACTACTTTTATGGAATGACTCAAGGCATTATGTTTGAGGGCTTTATAATGCAGCAAGACTGCTATGAAAAATGTTTATTATATGTTTTCGAAAGGCATCTCGAAGAGACCCAAGCCGACAACTTGCCTAACAAACTCAAGTAAAAGTTATGGTTTTACTACTATATGCAGAATTTGATCCATCAAACTATTTACTTCACCGTGGTCTCGACATTAGTTCACTGAAGCCATAGAAAGAAAATTTGTCTTGTTTTTTGTTATATTTGGCAACTTCCCCGAGGACATTCTCTCCCTTTAATCTCTATAAAAATGATGGAAATTATGTAGTGTATATTGATACCAGGATGGTTTTGAACTTTACTAAAATATTTGTATTTACTTTTTTTGTAAAAAAATATATCCCATTGATCGAGATAGGCTTTATTAAGTAAGTCAGATACACGAAAACCAGAAATATCTCGGTAAAAGAGGTCATTTTGTTACTTATCTGTATCTTATATTCACAAAACTAAATATTTCAGTAAAAGCTATACTAAACGGACGGTCTATTAAGCGAACGTCTCCATTAACCGTGCACTTTGGCCGATCCCAACGTTTTTCGCCTCGCCTACGCTGTTACTTAAATGTTCTCTCTGCTACATCACTTTTTTCCATTTTCTATTCCTATCGGCTAGTCTGCCATTTTCTCTCCCTCAATAAAATACAAATAAAAACCCAAAACTGATACTTACATTCAATCGCTTGTTTACCCCAGCCAGTGGTAATACACTTCTCATTCGGCTTGGGATCTTCATTGGTAACGCAAATGGGTTTCACGTGTTGAGCGAATTCAATTCTCTTGTCCAAACGTAATACGGCCATGTCATTCGAACCGGTTGAAGGATTATATTCAGGATGTATATCAATAGACCTAACACCGACTATTTGGAAGGGCAGCGGCTCGCTATCACGTCCCAACTCCCATTCACCACCCTTAACTTTCACGTCATTTGGCGATACACTGCATGAAAGGTAAATTTATAAATTTCAAGTTCTCTTAAAAATATTTTAAACTCAAGTATTACCCTTTAACCACGGACGCTGCTGTCAAGACGATTTGGTCGCCAATAATTGCACCACCACCGAGTAGAGTCTTAGTTGATTCCTTGAGGATCATTGCTTGCCATGGAATTTCACCGAAGTTGGCGTCAATATCTTGAATACCTTGGGGTTTGGTATTCTAAAATAAATAATAAATACATACATACATAAAATAAATTTTCTAAACTCAAAAATGGTTCACGAATGTGTTACTAACCCTATTTCTGGCGGCGCATACACCGGCCAAATTGATAGGCCATGGATCAACGTAGTTGGCGTCACGACAGCATTTGCCTGGTGCGCCGTTATCAAGCAGACAATCGGTGAGAGGAACGCGGAAAGTGGCTTCTGCAGGACTAATGTCGACTGGCTGATCGGTTATCACGCCGATGCTGTTGCAGAAGTTCTCCGGTGTGCATTCCAAAGCCGAGGCACATTTCGATAAGTGTTGACGGTTGTCAAGTGGTAGCGAAAGAATGTCTTCACCGCGCTGTGGGGGCGTAGGCTGTGGTACTCTTGGTGGTGATGCCGTCACAGTTTGGGTGACAGTATTCGATGGTTGAGTGACATGATAGTCGCCCGGTAGATTTTCAGAGCGTGGCGGTAAGTATTCATTTTGTGGTCTTGGAGCAGGTTGTGGTTGGGGACGTGGTTGCGGCTGTGGCTGAGGTTGAGGACGTGGTTGCAAAGGCTGCTGTGGTTGTGGTTGTGGACGTGGTTGCAAAGGCTGCTGTGGTTGTGGTTGTGGACGAGGTTGCAGAGGCTGCGGTTGCGGACGTGGTTGTGGTTGTGGTGCTGGAGGCGCCCTACTTGGGATTGGAACTGGCTTGTAGGAAGATGGTGTGTATACTTGACGTGGGGGTGTAGCTGGTGTGGGTGGTAGATATTCATTGCGTGGAGTTTGGGGTTTTGGTGTGGTTGGATATGTACTTGGTGGCAAATATTCACGTTGTGGCGTCGTTGCTGGCAAACGTGGCGAAGAGAACTGTTGTTGTGTAGATGGATATTGAACGGGTCGATTTGTGGAAGGAATGTTGAATTTCACTGTTGGAGTTCGCAGTACATAACCATCATCGGTGAGTGTGGTGGAAGGTATGCGACAGCAAACATCAGGGGAATAACAACGATCGCTCTGTAATTAAAGAAAGCAGAAACGAATTTTAGAATTTTTATGTTATTTTTTTGTCATTCTATATAAATATAAACATTTATTACATTATTTATTGTACTATAGGTTCTCTGGTTCAAAAAGTGAAAAGTGATAACATATGTCGGAAGACTTCTTATTATGGACGATAATACTTCTTTCTGTTCAGCCGAAAGCCTTTGATGCTAGCGCTGCGTACTTTAGTTTATTTAATAATTTGTTTATTATGTAAGCTTTAATAAAATAAAATAAAAATAAAAAAAACTTCTTTCTGCCTACTCCTTCTTCCTGCGGACTAACTCCTTTATGGTAAGAGGATCCATCGCTATGAAAGGTTTAGGTCCTGCCTTACTAGTGGACACTGCGAATGGGCGACCTCATCAGCCAATTTATCCCCGGCTATACCTTTGTGACCGGACACCCAGATTTTTTGAACTTGGTTACGTTCCGATAGACTATTCAGCCGTTTTCTACACTTCTGAACAAGTTGCAATTTGATCTTGTAGGCAGAAATTGTTTTAACCCTTTCGATCCGAAAAGCCGTTGAAGTAAATAAAACAAATTAAAACGTATTTTCCATTAAAAAACGAGTTAAATGAATCAGAGGCGGAGGGAGGGGTTGGGACAAATATGTCCCGTCAGTATTTTTCGATGGGACATAGTTATCCCGATCAGTACTTAATGCTCCCAAGGCTTACATATAATTTCAACTGGGTTTTATATGAAAGCTAATTTTATTTGTAATTCAATGAACATTTTCGGTAAACAAAAGTGAAATACATATTTCATATTAGACTATAAAATAAAATTAATTTGAAATTAATGAAAATATTTGAAAATAAGTATTTATTTGTGATAAGGTGCAAAGAGTCCTTGCAGAGTGGAATCTGACATTCTTCACATATTGTTTTTGTACGTCTCTCCTTCTTTTGTTCTGCGCAACCAGCACACCGCCTCCGATTGCTAATTTGTATCGGTAGATGCCCAGCACTTATTTTTCTTTTTCTACCAGATATACCACTGCGACGAACAGATGCCTTCTTCTTTCCCTCTTCAATCCAGCTTTCCAGCCAAAACTATCATAAAATCAATCAGTGGGTTTTTTTTCGTCCCAGCTGAGAACTGATTACCCAGGAATTTCCAACAGACATCATAAAAAATAGTCTATAAAAAACTTTTTTTCCACCATTTGGTAGACTTCCGGTCCAATTCGTATTGGCCTGCGATTTGGTCAGCTCGATCAACTCCTCCCATTATCTGTCTGTAAAATTTTATCATTTCGGAAAAGTCAATGTAGACTGACTTTTTGACCGTTTTGTAGCTTTTTTTCTATTTACAATTACTTACAACGATTACTTTCTTCCATTTGGCAAACATTAAACCTGTGTTGCTTTCTCGGAAAATGCATTGACCCTTCCTGAGCTTAATATTAATTACTGGCAATTTCTTACGGTTTGGCATARCAGTTCCTAACGCGGCATAATTCAAATTTTCAAGGAGGTTGATACTAGTGAAGGTCCGATCAAAGCACAATGTGACATCACTTTCTTGTATTGTAGCAGCTAATTTATTAGCTACGCGTTCGCCAAGAGTTCCTTCGACAACTCCTTCTTCTTTACCACAGTAGATATTAAAGTCATAGGTATAGCCGGTAAGAGCATCATACCTAAGCCACATTTTAATCCCACGCTTAGTGGGCTTCAAGGGCAAATATTGTTTCATAGAAGATCGGCCCTTGAACTTCGTCATACTTTCATCAATACTCTGGTATGCACTTTCCACCCTTGAACTTAAAAATCGAGATTTGAGGCACTCCAACATATCTTCAATATAGTATAGTTTAGATGCTCCCTCTGGCTTTTCAGGTGAAGCAAAATACATTTTCGATGACAATAGCTGAAATCTATCCCGTGTAATAGCTGATTTTATAGCATCGTTTCCCATAGAATAATGTTTTGACCAATAGTGTCGAATGGATGGTAGACGATTATATGACATAATGATCATACAACCAAGAACAATCTTTATTTCTCCAATATCTGTAAGCATTGTATTTTTATGCACCGGTTTAGATTTCGAAAAATTTCTATTCTTTAGTTGGTACATTGCGTAATACGCATAAAAAGGCTTTCTGGGAAAATTTTCATGAATATATCGTAAGGATTATCAGTCCTTTTAAAACCTTGTCCTATGTCTGGAATTCGAAGGCTGCTCACTGATTTTCTTGGAACAAAAGCCACATTGGGAACAGACCAAATGGTATTATGAAAAGTGTATGTAGAGTTTACTTCTTGTAAGTTATCTCCTACATCCTCGTCTTGATGATCGATATGCTCAGCATCACTGCTTTCAGTAGTAGAYTCCTCACCATCTGTAGGCTTATATTCTTCACTACTAAGTCCCGAAAAGTCTTCACCTTCATCAGAAGACTTTAAGATATTAGCAATCATATTGCGATCTATTGATTTTGACATTTTTAGTCTGTACAAAAGTTATAAAATTATTAATTGAAATAAAACGTTGACAATAAATGTGTGCGTCGGATCCTGACTGGGACCTCTTTAGCCCAACAAGAATACTGATGGGACACATATATCCCACAAACTTATAAATATCAATAATTACAAAAATACAATATAATGTTAGTACTCACCAACTTCACAATATGTCAAAAACACAAACACAGCTATTTATTAAGGTTTCAGTTGATTTAAAACCAGTAAACTTACAAATATCAAAAAAATTCACTGCGAATTATGAAGCACGCGTCCAACCATTCGTTCTATTTTGGCAAATGAACACGTGTTTTTAATTTAAAATACCACGAATGTAAACAAATACCGTTAAGAATAGTATAAGCTACGAAAAGGGACTAATTTCAACTTTTTTAACCACTTACTTTATACGCTAGGTATCTTTGAAAATACACCGGGACACTTAGGACCCGTTCGGATCGAAAGGGTTAAGTGCCACTTGACTGGCGCTAAGTATGCTTATACGAGGTGTGTTCAAAAAGTATCGCGAATTTTGTGTTTTTTCAAAAATTATTTATTTATTCATGAATATCTATYTTGTCCCCTTCAAAGTAATCCCCATGAGATATTATACACTTGTGCCAACGGTTTTTCCAATCTTCGAAGCACTTCAAAAAATAATTTTTGTTTTTATCTTCTTCAGCTCCTCCTTCGATGCCGTCTTTATCTCGTCAATACATACGTTCGTTGCGACAGTTGCGTGGGAGATTTACCTCTGCGCACCGACTTGTGACAAATACTTCTGCTTGAAAAATACTCGCAAAACTACCCATAGGTATGGAGAGTTTAATGCGTGGTCCTGCATCAATGCCCTGCGACGTTTTCTAAGCAGTAGTTCGAGAGTGGAATCATCCCATTCAGTTTAATGCTAAGGATAACCTTGAACTCTTGGTGAAGTTTTCCTTTGGTGATGCTGTCCCTTAGCAGAAGAGCCAATGTTTTTACACTACTTAATTTGTTCATCCGCTGGGTGAGATTACCTTACTTCTGAAACACCCTTCTGCTGTCAATTCTTGCCTTGCAGGCCGGGATTTACCAGCTAATCGATTGCACACCACTCTTTTTTAGCAAGGTCAGTAATCCAGCGTAATACCAAGATATTTGACCATACTAGTCATACTACAATAGCAATAGCTGCAATAAAATCTGGCGGAACAAAATCAAGACATTGATGTTATTGAACCCTTTTATGCTGCAAGAAATGCACCTGTAAAGGACATTATAACCGCGGTACAATCGAAGTCAACGATTTTTCTTGTTAAATGTTTTGCTTGATTTGCCTCAAAGCTTTGTTATTTCCATCCACTTGCATTACCAATGAGAGAATTAAGGACCGCATTCTACGATTTCCATCAAGCTTTCTATATTTCCGACAAAAATTAGTTAAAAATGAAATGTTTAATCGAATAGCATTCAATTATCAAAATGTTTGACTGATCATTATGGGCAAATATGTCACAAAGGGATTGATTATTATTTCATAAATAATTTCTGTAAGCACCTGCGCCAGCTTCATAAGCATATTATCTTAATTGAATAAACTTTCAATGTAAATATGTGAGAAATGTGTAGGCACTTGCTGTTGTAAGCATTTCTGGACACCCGCTTGTATGTCAGTATGTACATATGTATGTATGTTGGTGAGCACAATAAAAATTACCTCCTTGGCATTTGGCATAGAGCTTTTTTAATAAATGATCCATCATTTTGGGGACAGATAACAAATGCAGTAATGACTTTAAGAAAGGTTGTTAATTTTCTCACCGTTTTTTCGTTTTGTCATGTTCTGCGACTAGTTTTTTGTTTACAATAATTTACTTGCCAATTGTATGTATGTATGTGATCAGTAAGTGGCCATGTCAGCCACTGTGCGCTGTCTGTCGGTCTGTCTGTCCGTATGTACGAATGACAAGATTGAAGTAGGCATTTTAAGGTAATTTGTTAATAGGGGTTATTTTTAATGGCATTGTTAAATGACATCCAGCTGCTTAATGAAGTTGTTCAGAAGGTGTACAATGGCATATTGGTTAGCTGTACACACATACATACGTACAACGGACATACAAATATGTATGCATATGCACATATAATCGCATATTAAGTAATTTTATGCTTATCTGTCAGCTACTTTTGCATACATATGTTTTTACAAACTTACAGTCATACATACATACATTCATAAGTATATAAATACAGAGGTGTGCACATAATTGTTGTGTATTTGCGAAAATATGATGTGAATTCCATTAAAGTGTGGTGTTTCGGTTGACCCGTGGTCGTGTATGGCTACATTGGCCTAAGTATGCATAGGCAAACATAGATATCCACATACATATTCACCTACATACATATATAAGTGGGCGTTGCTGTTGGTCGAACGCTCGAAATTAAATGGAAAACTTCAACTCGTAGGTTTATGACATTTGCGGTAAAACCTTTGCTGGGTGTTTG